CTTCTGTTGTCATTGATTTAATGTTCGGCCGGGTTTTGCTGTGTTTCTCTGAGTTCCTAGGTTAAAAAACCCGAACATCTTGTTTCAGCCACTACCCAACAAATGGTAAAATAAATAAATACTTGCAGAGGATGTTTAATCAAGTTGTCTTTTTAATATCTTTCTATAACAAATGTTGGAGATTGGTTTGACCCAAGGATGCAAAGAACCCTGAATGTATTGGTCAATAAAGCCTTTGAAATCTGTGAACAGCACTGAGGCAGCAACCTTTATTAAACTAACACTTGTGCCATTTTCAAAACGTTTGGTCACAAATGTAGTAGAATCTTGACACCATCCAGTCAACCTGAAGAAGCTGGAAACAATAAGAATCCCACAGAAGTGGATSTGGTGTTTCTGTTATAAGCTAGTGGACTGTATGTTCCTGTGTGTTGTAAATTAGAACTCACATCTTCTGCTTGCATCAACAGTTGYGTTTTCTCCTTGGTCAGTTGGTTCACCTTCTCCTCCTCAATCTGCAGGTCCTCAATGGCCTGCTGTTAGGAAGCAACACAAAGTATCAGGTTAGACTTGTTCCATCATCTCTGATCCCATCACATGGGTAGTTGTTACAAAGTTATTTTCTATTTGATCTCACAGACTCAGATTCTTTTCWTTTCTTGCATTTAAATAAACACAGAATACAGTGATTGTTTTTGAACACAACATTTAGCAAGATATACAGTAGTTATATACTTTTACAATTACATACATCCTGTACAACTTATCAGTAGATGGACAAATAAATTGTTAAAGTAAAAAAAGATTCAGTAAGCTGGTTGCATGTGTGCACATCCTTAAACTAATTCTTTGTTGAAGCACATTTTTTGATCTTTTTAAAATTAAGCCTATTGGCATGTTATACTTTGACTTGATAATATTAATGCACTCGTCTTTACATGAGTAAATCTTTATAGAAATAAGTATAGTACCCATACACATGTATACACTTTGCATCAACATTTTCTGTACGTGCATATATATTTATACATATAAACATACATACACCCCCTATCAAACATTTAAGACCAGTTGAAAAATGGCAAGAATTCACATTTTTGTACTGTTGGATCAATGCAAGAAGAAGAAATTAAAATGAAACAAAATAAATACAAAATAAAAAAATGAGTAAGTATTTTGTTGAACYCAACCYTTAAACTGAAATAGGCTGTTCATCAGCTGARAAAATGTTTAAGACCACAACGTTTAGCTTAGACTAAATTTATGTTTCCAGTTTAATGACYTGAGCCTGTGCTTCTCCTCTTCATTGGCTGCTGTTTCAGTAAGTTTTACACATTYCACAATGTCAACTGTAGAAAAAAATACTTCCAAAACCTGGTACAATTTCTGGAACCAAGGTTTGTTTCAAAATCAAAATAGGGTGAAAAATGTTTTAAAAAAGTACAAAAAGTGTTTTCATTGCATGATTCATTAAAAATAGTACATTAAATTATTTATTTATTCACATTGACTAAGATTGTAACTAAATTAAATATTTTATTACTTTTAAATATGGCAAATCTGTATTACTCACTGTTTTTAAATTCATCATACAACTATTGTGGGATGTAAACTGATAAATTCAGTTTAGAGCATGTTTATCAATGTGTGGATGTATTTAAAAACTTAAACATTAGTTTATAATGACAATTATTAGTTTAATAGCAAGTAGTTTTGGTTAATTAATTAACCATTGTTCCATTAATGTTTGCTTTTTGTGGTGTAAAAAAAACTAATAATGTCCTGAAATATTTGTTGATTTCTAAACATTCAGTCTTGGTTGTTTCGAAACATCACTTAGAGCCTTCGAACAATCCAACAGAGCAAATGTGAATTCTTGCTATTTTTAAACTGGTCTTAAAATTTCGATCAGAAGATGATTTATATAAACATTTATACATACATAAATACACACACACACACACCTAAATATCTCCATATAGCAAAAAAACAAAAACAAATATAAATAATGGACACATCATAATTAAATGAGAGTTTTATTTCTCTCCTTAAACTTTTTATATTTGGACATTTGAATGCCACACTGAAACTGTTCCTTTGTTTAATCCATTAGTGGAAATAAAAAACTGTTTGCTAATTGTATGAACAATATTTAATTTAAAATTGAACTGTCTTCTTAAATGATAACTGCCTTCCCTTTCAGCAAATTCTGAATTATTTGATTTTTGCTTTAAATGTGATTATAGTTTGTAAATAATAAGTTGGTATGGTTCCTATATCC